ACATCTCAACAGCGAGCATGCTCTGGACGATAGAAGTACAGCCCAATGTAGAGTACAAATGCAGGTTGTACAGCAGTTAGAGCTACAGGTAAAGCCACGTTTATTTTTAATCTTGCCTCAGTGTTACTCAAATCCCAATCTCTGTAGTGTTCCGTAATGAGCTCCTGTGCACTCATTATTGAATGGAAGGTCCAAACTTGTGTTTCATTTTATCTTATTTTATTTTATTCTGTATTCTTTGGGAAAGTTCGCCTTCAATTCACTCTTTGGAACTGCAGCTCAGATATTTCCAAGTTCTGTGCATCTGTGTGTGTGCAGCCACCTCTGAGTTACCACTTTCAGCACTTCCATATCTGTCACTTTGCCTCCCTTCTCTCTTCTCCTTTGAACTCTCTGGTTATCTTTTGTTAAAAGTCCCCTAAGTTGCTAATATTGTTAACCTGGAGTTAGGAAGACAAGCGGAAGCTGGGGAGAGAGAGAGAACAAATGTGCATGGAGAGAGCTGTGGATGTGAGCGAGCCTGGGCGCTCATCAGGGATGTTTCCCAGGATTGAAGCAGAAACCGTGTGGATCGATCCCTCGTGTTTCATTGCCTTCTCTCTCCACATGGAGCACAATGGAGAGATCACTGCACACATTTTAAACATACACACTGACGCATGTATATAATCTCGTATTTGGAAATCCATTGGGTCATACTGAATGTATTTTATGACTAGAGAAAATAAACTTCTGCCAATTTTCCTGTGGATCACAGTTGTGAGCAACAGGGCATTTTTTATTTATTTATTATTATTTTTTATTTATTTATTTATTTATTTTTAGCTGAGCTGTCCTGCAACCTGTTGGCAGCTCAGCGGCTGCTCAGCTCGGGCAGGGACTCGAACCGCTGTTGCTCAGAGCTCGAACTCTTGAGCGAGCTCTTAACCAACTGAGCCACTCAGCCAGCCCGCAACAGGGCATTTTTAATGTGGGTTCCACTTCCTGGTGTAACTTGTTTATAAAACAACATATTTTAACAATAATTTCAGTCTTGGTACAATTAATAGGAAATTAGCTTCTAAAAGTAAAACTTGGGTCAGAAATGGAGTTTATTAAATATACAATTGCAAAAGCCTGACCCTGCAAACCCCATTTATGCAACCGAGTTCCGAAATGCATGTGGCTGCTTTGTGACTCACCGTGGCTTCTTCCTCTGCCGGTTCACTGCAGGCAAGAGGTTAGCCGAATAGGGGAATTAAAACAAGGTTGTATGTTATATTGTTACCAGCCATGGAAAAGCCTGTTTTGTATGCAAGACGGCACTACTGAGATATATGGAGAGCCCTAGGCTAAGTACAGAAGATAATTACATTTGGAATTTTACTGAGTTAAGTCATTTACAGCTTCAAACAGTTGCTGAGAAAAATCAGCCAAAACACACTTAAACTTTTTGTTGTGACTTTTCGGGATAGAAAGGATTTTTTTTTTAATTAGTTATCATCTTATATGACAAATTACATTTTTTTAGTAAGAATGTCTCAAAAGTTATTTTCTTTAGCTAGTTACTATCTTTTCATTCAGAGTATAGTATGAACTTATTAGAATAGTAGGATATTTATACAGGCAAAGGGTGCATCATAAAATCCCCACATTTTTATGTAAGTCTTTGGAAACATCTTTAAATTTTGCATGTTGGGAAGGAAAAAAGTAGTGTTATTTATCTCCCAAAATTCACTTATATTGAAGTATAGTAAACCCTGGAAAAATTGGATTCAACTGAACAAACTTGATGTCTATTGCTATGTGAATGTACATGTATTAGTGGTAGTGTTTATAAAGTAATACAAGTTCCTGCATTTATTCATTGATAAAAGTAAATTCTTAATGATTAGCTAGAATAAATTATTTACTAGAGGTGTTGTCATGGTTTATTCAGGTAGGCATTCCAGACTGCAAATTTGAGTGTGGGGCTGCTAATTACTCAGGAACTGGCTATTTTATTTATTATTCCTCACTCTTCACAAAGAGCAGGCAGGAAAGAGAGAGCAGTTAGGCCATTCAAGTGGTTGTCTCCATTCAAGCAAGTGGATGTGACCTGGGAGTGGTCCAAACTGATATGAGGAATCTTTGATTATTTGTAGATTTCCCTTCATCTTACAGTTTCAAATCAAACTGAAAACAGGCTTTTCAACTTGTGATAGAAATCCAAGAAGATCATCCGGCCAAAAGTTACTATGTGGTAGTTACCTGTGATGGCCCAAATAATGTTTTTGCTTGAGAGTGTTTTAATGAGAGAAGGGACAGGCTGATCCTTAAGGGTTCCGTTTCTTCACAGCTTGAGAGAATTGGTGGAGTGTTGAAATAGTGCTTGTTGAAAGCAGGGTTGACAAACTACAGACCATGGACCAAATCCCATGAGCCAAGAAAACTTTTTACATTTTGAATAGTTGGGGAAATAAAAAAAAAGAATAAATGATATGAAATTCAGGTTTCATTGCCCATATATAAGGTTGTATTGGAACACAGCCACACCCATTCATTGACGAATTATCTGTGGCTGGTTTTGCATTATAACAGAAAAGTTGAGGAATTGTTCGAGTCCTCGTCACTTGCAAGGCTGGAAATATTTACTGTCTGGCTGGTCCTTGCAGAAGTTTGCCAGGCAGTCTCTGGTCAGCAAAAACAAAAACCTCATCACATTATTAGCAACTGTTCCCTGTTGTTCCCAGCTACTTGAAAGTCTGCTCACATATCCATACCTTTTCCCTCTTCGCCTCGGCACATAAAATGAGTCTGGTCCCCACATGGGTCAGGTTTCCTCCATAGCAGCTTCACACAGTAAGTACCTGCCAGTCTTCAGGGTCATGAAAAGCTGGCTGAGGGAAGGCTATGCATTCATTCATGCATCCATTCATCTACTCATTCATTTAGCATACATTACCTGGAGCCTATTACACAGTAGGAACCTTGGAGTACTAAGGAGTACAAGAGTGAGTGAGACACATAGGGCTGCCCTCCTGGTTCTTACATTCCAGAGACAAAATAGACGCTAAGGAAGTAATTTTCCATTGGCACTGCCCATCAGTTGAGTAGTGCTAGCTGACACTGGAAACACGTTCCAAAGAGTTTCAGTTGTAGGCAGGGCCCAAACCAAAACAGATCTTATCTATTAATTATTATTCAATCAGATGAAATACAGAAGAAATGTCAACAGTTTTTAGTATTTGAAGAACCCTTGCCCTGCAGTAGAGTTAAGAGAAACTCTTATCAGGGATTGGATTGAGGGTCTGCACTGCAGACCCAGCACATTGGGACACTTTGGGGCAGGGTGCAGTCACACTCCAGCCAGTCTCATTCTCGGCCTCCTGCTTCTCTGATATTCCCTATTTCCATGTTTGTGCTGTTACATTGGCCATTTTGTGCACCCATGTCTGGAAATGTACTTTTTCATTACCTAACAGTCATTGTACCCATGGAACCTGAGGTATTGGGTGAATCGGATCCAGGCAGCAGCAGGAATACTTTGCAGAGGGGATCTTATGCCCACACAGTCTTCCTGTGTGTTTCCCATTGGCATCGCCCCCTTCTCTTGGCTGCAGACTGGTGCATCACTTCACCTAGAGGGACCAATGCCCAGGGCTTGACGGACCCAACGGCCACTGCTTTTTCCCTCAGAGAAAGCATTCCCCAGTCCAGGAAATACCTGAACCTCAAGTACCTCTAAGAAGATTACAAAATTACCATTTATTAACTGGAATCTGAAAACCGTTTGTACCACATAGCACTATAGGGAAGAGTGATCCAGGTTGAACAACTCCCGAAGGGTGATGGTCACGCTAGAGGAGGGGACGTTTCTTCTGCCACCCAGACTCACAGGGCTTCTCTCTGCAGAGTAGTCCTTAGGGCTCTGCTGTTTACACCTTGAGAGAGGTCACACGGGTGCCCCCATTGTGAAAACAAACCCAGTAAGCTCAAGGTGGACCTTGCAGTCAAGACCAGCCAAGGTTTGGTATGTCTGCCCTAGAGAATCATCGTGAAAGGATCCCACAGGAGAATTCGGGAGGGCCGGCAGTTGGCCTCAGACGTGATCAGCACTGGTGAAAGCCACTCGTGTTCTGTGTACCTTTCCAGCCCCTGGAATCTAAACACTAGAAACCTCAATTCTGACACAAAACAAACCCCTTATATTTCTTTTTTTTTTAATTATTTTTTATTATGAAATACACATTTTTTAGAATTAGTTTCAGCTGTACAACACAGTGCAATAGTTATACTTTTTACCCCTTGAAGTGACAACCCCCCCTCCCCCTATATTTCTTAACCTGTAGTCAAACCTCCCTAAAGAATCGGATGCAGTTTTTTCTTTTGTTAGTCACCATTGTTTTAGCCTTAGGGGATAGTGGCTAGAGATGTTTCCATTGCGGTGCTGCCTGTACAACAGTACCCTGGAATCAAATGGAATAGCCTGTAAGGTTGTCATGGTGGGAGTTCAGGCAGCCAGGGACAGATCAAGGCTATGGGTTATGGGGTTTGACTTAGACTTGTCTAACCGGTGCTGTGCGTGATGCATCTGTGTTGTTTTGATTTTTGTTTTGTCAAAATATATAATGCATGTTTTCTTAGCACTGGACGCCTTATGTAGAGCTTATTAACAGAAAGGTTGGTTCATTCAGTTCTCATGTTACACCCTGTGATGTGTCTTGCTGAGCTGGAAGACGAATCAGAAAGACAGCATTGTGGGCATTCAGAGCCTTTTTGAATGTTTCATACTGCGTTTCATTATTACAAAGACAGGTGCAATTTTTTCCCATGTTTTGTCAATGAACTAGACAGAGGATTAACCCCAGCTTTTACCTGGAAGCCCAACATGAGAAACCTGAGAAGTGTGAGGTGTTTACACTGTACACTCAGGCACATACCATGAGACAGGTGGACATCGTAGAAATCATTTGGGTCAAGGATATGGCTTTTGAGGTCAGGAAATCTATTTGAAGATTTCATCTGTTAGATGTTGTCTTTTGACAGATTGCTCTGGATGATACCCAGTCATGGAAATGAGTTAGAACTAGAGAGGAAAAAAACTCCAATAATCAATATGCACGATCT